CTATTACCTCTGAACAAGTAAAACATAATTTTAATGCTGTAGGAGTCTCAGGAGTCAGCTAATTGTAAGTTTTTTTATTTACTTTAGAGTGGTATGATCTCTACAAATACTATAATCATATTTGGAACTTTTATCCAAATGGTGATTGCGCTTTGTATTGTAAGTCGTTTTGGATAAAAGCGTCAGCTAAATTTTATATAATGACATATTTAAGTGTTCATGAGTTTTGTGTGCAAACGTTTTCAACTAAAACTGTCAAATGTAGAAGTACTAATTGGCATACTTAAAGTACAAGTATGTCAAAAAACCTGAGAGTTTAGAACAGGCCAATACTGATTCTGTACTCTGAGGTGTGGGAGCAATACTGGAGCTGAATCCTTACTGATCTGAGCAATGTGAGAACATGTAAACAGACACTCACCTTGAGTATTGTGGCTTTGCCTCCTTTTGTGAGTTTCTTCAGGTTCTCTGCAACTTCAGCCTTGGACAGCTTTCTGTTCTCATCGGTTCTACTGGCCTCTTTAAGTTTTTGTCTCTTTTCTTTCTCATGGATCTTTACACGCTTCACCATCTTCTTGTGGCGTCTCTCCCGCTTCTTGTCTGTCGAACTCTTCTCAGTATCACCCATAAGGTCTCCTGCTTTGTTCTTCTCCTATGGTCAGAGGAGAGTATTGTTAGTGTAACAGAATATACCAAGATCAAGATAAATGTTTGAAAAATTAATCTGTGACAAACCTTGACTTCTTCTGGTGCCAGCATTGTAGCATCACTAGCGCTGACTGGAGCCACCTCCTCCATTGTGATGGACGGCAGGTTAGACACCACTTTGACCTCGGGAACATGCTGTGGACAAACAGAAACACCAACGCAGGTTTCAATACAGGAAATGTTTTTTTTATTAAGATATGTTCAAATGGTCAGTTTAGGTATGTATTGTGCCTCGCAACTTTATAATGCATTAAGAGTCACAAACCAAATTGTAGATGTCATTTACCAGAGTTAGATCTAGGGTACAAATCCAACATGTTTTTGCTCAAGAAACCTCTGAATTCTGTTAAGGGTTGAGACTAACTTCTACAATTTGCAGACGCTTTCACTCTTAACAACATATACCAAATCTCAATATTTGAGGCACAAGAGGCAAATCTTACTGGTTTAGGTGTGAAGTGGAAGTTGGAGAGAGCATCCAGCTTAAGAAAGAGCGTGTCCATAAGCTTTTGAATTTCTACATGGGATGGGTTCTCCTCCTCTGTCTTTTTCTGAAATCAGAAGAAAATACAAAAATAATGTATGCGGTTCTTATGTGTTAAGAGAGTAGGAGTGAAAACAAGATAAATGTCAAACCTGATTCTGCTTGAGGTATTCCTGCTCATAGATTTCTGCTAGACTTTGTTTGCTCTTCTCATGGTCCAACGTAAGTCTCTTCTTGTACTCAAACACTTCCTCTTTGGGTTTCTCCTTTCGGACCACGTCATCAAACGCCTTACAGAGACACAAGCCAAAAGGGACAGGTTTATGACCAGTACAAAAAACAACTCCTTAGTTTTATTCCAAAAACCAAAAGAAACACTTGTGACTAACCTGGTCTTTTATTCTCTGTTTGATGATGTCTTCAAGCTGTAGTGTGGTTTCCTCTGTGATACCAGGTGCTAAAAGAACAGAGATACATTGTTGTTATCTGTTCTGAAATAACACACAAACATTTGTTCTTGCCATTTTAATATTCTTAATGAAACAATACAAATATAACAATGGTGAATAATTGTATAAATACCAAATAACCTGCATGGCCCAAAAGAAGAGAGTTACTCACCCATCCTGGATGTCTGCTCAAACTCCACATGTTCCTCCAGCATGCTGTTCTCCGGACGCGTCTGCGCCGTCACCTCTCCGGCCAGCTGCCACGGCTTCGTTGCTAGAGCTGTTTTCTCCAACTCATCGATCTTCTCTGACATCTGCAGGTTACGACAACAATATTATATAATAAATGTTATTAATGGGCTTTCAGAAGGCAATCAGCCCTTCTCTAAAACAATACAAGGGGTCCCGTTGATGGGTGCGTGTGACCTCCAGAGTGAAATAAAGACACAATCCAGGAAGTCCAGGTGGTGGAGGAACAGAGCTGGAAGATATGCACCCCTTTACTTTAATCTGATGTTTATTTAACATGTTTGTCTCATGTTTGAATAGGCACCCTGATCACTTTTATGTAAAATTCATAATAGCATTCTTACTAGACTGGACCAAGCACCATTTCTGTATCACTTTCAACACAGTGTTGTTTGAATGTATCATATGCAGCAGAAGAGAGTAATAAATGTAAATATTGTGCTGCCGTCTAAGAGCACTGTAATTTACCGTCTCATCCGTCAAGCACTCTTCTTAGCTTTTTTAAGTTTCACTCATGCTGGCTGCATGAATGAAACCATGAATATGGTGTTAATCAGGCACCAACAACAACGTTTTTGTTGCGTTTCCACTAGGGTAGTTCCGGCTAACGGGTACTTTTCACAGTTTTTCTGGCCCTCCAAAATCGTGGTTCTTTCCGGGCCAACAACCGGGCTGAATATGCTAAACTAGTGACGTGAGTGGCTATAACTACAACACAATGAACATATTTTACCGTGATTTCATTGTAATACACGTTTCAAAATGACACCGAAGGAACAACATACTGATACCGGTTAGTAAAAACCATGAATTAATGCTTTGACAAGTCGGCAGGTGAAATACCTTTTAAAATGCGTGTTTTCTGAATGGAGATCGGCTAAGCTAACATTGTATATGCTCCGACCGTCCACACTCACAACGGCCTATACAGACATAAATAAAGCAGCGACTGTATTCTCCATGACACAGACAGTCTGTGGTTTGTACTTGTTTAACTTTTGTCTAGTTTCTGAACAGATATGAGGAGCTGTGAGCTCTGAGTGCTAACAGCTAACGGCTGATGTTGGTT